CATGTTTGGTTTCATTAACAAGTATTCAGCGTTATTGTTACTGTTATTATGACTTTCACTAACGATAAGATAATCATTCTACTAGTTCCATTATGGTTATTGATATTATCTAGTGTATGTAATTGTTGTTGTTGCTATGGTTGTTCGAAAGATTACTATCATTGAAATGTGTCCGTTTTCATTTCTCAGTCAATATTTTCATAATAAGAATTCATTCATTTCAGAAGAAACTCTTGGACCGCAGAACAGTGAAACGAGTTTCGGCAACACTCGATGCAATCCGTAAACAACGTAACGCACAACGTTTTCAACATCAATTCAATTATGCTCTTTTTGAACGATGATCAGTAGATTCGTTCATCGCCAAAATGTGTAAGCAGGAATATCGTTGTTGGTTGACTACACATGATGAACGGAGCAAAGAAATAGTGCTGAAAGGCCCAAGTGGGCAATAGAGAGTTATTTTGCTACTTTGATAACCTGCGGAATGGCTACTCTATTACTGGCGAAATAGCGATTCCACTGTATTGCTAACTAGCGAGGTAGCGGCATTGTCCAATGTGCTGAAAGTGATATTCTGTGATAATATAGGGATATGCACTCGTAATTTCTTGTTATGATTTGCTCATTATAGGAATATTTGCGTCTTTCGTCTGTATATAACACAGTTTTGCTGATAAACGAACCAAATTTCATGTGAATGTGCATATAATCAAATGATTTTTTGTGATTTCCTGGAAGTCTTTCATTTGCATATGGTTTATTGTACATCTATCGCATGCTTTATTGTACATTGTGCATCTATCGTATTTATACATATTCATTTCTGTACTTATTTTTGATGTAATCCTGCTTGCGTAGTGCGATTATGGAATCCAAGTAGTCTTGATTATGAATGGCTTGCAAAAGAGCAGTTTTTTAAGTAATAAATCACATTTCCTGAAATTTAATTTGTCATCGTAACAGTTTTTGATGAAGTTTCGTTGTTTACGAAACGGAGCACGTATCTTGTTGAGTTGTTTGTTGCTTATCTTTATTGGAAACTCAATCGAAGTAGGATAACCTGAATCGCTCACTCATAAGATTGGAAGAATTACTTAACTGAACCAAATCATGAATGTATTATACGTTTCAGTTGCGATATTTACCCTGTTCCCCTCAGGAGGGTTTCAAGACGTTCACGATGAAGTTATATCTGTATTATTGATAATCAGTATTTCGTTTTTTCGAAGGGTAGGTGCAATGAGAAATCGTGATTACGAGTGTTTTGTGAATGCAGAATATGTCAATTTCAGAAGCAGCCTTTGGCTATATGCGTTTTGTGAGCAATCTGATAGTAGTTGTGGCCACAAACGTTTTAGTCTCAGCATCGAAGTCATCTTGCAGGAAACTGTCAACTATGTGCGCTTCACTTGCTTCGATTGCAGATGTCGATATTGACCCGAAAGGAGTGTTCAAATATATCCTCATCAAGGTGATTGATTCGCGTATTTGGGATATCTGATTCTTCAGTGATTCGGCTTTATCTCTAAAATGGAGCAATTGAAATTCTGATGATGATGGATGGTTGAAAACATCATTAAATAATTATTCTCATTGTAACACTCAAACTGAAATGCCACTGAAATAATCATTATAACATCATAGAACTTCGATAATATTCAGGCAACTGACAAAGAATCTAAGAGTGAAAAGCTGATCGTTCGAGGATATAAACATTGTCATTTTCACGGTGACATTTTCGAGGAGACGGAAAATGCTCTCGGAACGGCATTCAAGTTGAAGTGTCTGGGCGGTGGTCGTATCAAACATGAACCGGAATCAAGCGAAATACTCGTCTATGGCTATTCTCAGGTAGTGCACTCACTCACCCAAGTATTAGTAGGAGCTCTTTTTAAGACTTTTAGTCCTTCATCGTGGTGAAATTTTTTGATGAATTAACTGCAAATATATGCTGAAAAAAGGATATCTGGTTGATAGAACATTGTTTTGCTGAAACTCTCTCGTAGTTAGTGTCCGATATTGGATATTGTTCATGCGATGCATTGATTGCAATTTCAGGGTTACGGTCCAGCAGATCACCAAAAAACTGTCGATATACTCAAAACGAAATATCCATCTTATAAGATAACATTCTCAAACGAAGGTTACTGAGTCGCAGTCAGACTATGCGTGTTACAGTCGCAATTCGACTTCAATATCTTCATCGATACTGAAGAAAAAGTGATCAGTTGTGATAAACATTGATCAATCATTTATATTTCGACAAGGACGTTATGGTTTGCGCGAATGAATTTGTAAATAAACTAGCTTGTTTTGGATTTGTCAAGTATTACAGGTATCTTATGTATGAAACTATGAAGTACCCGCGAATTTGTATGGGTTATTGAATGTAGACGCTTTGTCGGATTGTACTGATGTATGTTTTAATGTTTTTTGTTACCGAAGTTTATTGTAATTTTAAAATTTCATGGAAAATAAATTATTTGAGAATGCAATAGTTTCATGGACTTCACATCACTGTCAGTAAATCGTTTCCGAGAGCGTAGTATACCTATTCAATGATTATGTCTTATGAGAGGTCGAGATCAGTGGTCATTGTAATATTTCATCTGGTTATCACACTGACAACTTTTCAGCTAAAAACTGAAAATCTTAGCGTTTCCATATCAATACAGTCTGATTCCCAGTGATTTTCCCGCAGCAACTAGAGCAATGATGTCGGTTCAAGAGGAAAATCGCTCACTATATCTAGACGTGTTCTTTGACGACTATGCAGAGATCAAGAATATGACTGAATTTCTCTGATTCATTACACATCTCTCCTTTATTCATTTTCATCGAGCTCAGAGCTGTCCAAAGCAATTTTTGTGTGATTTGGAAATGAGATGTCACCTTAAAGAATATGTTCAGATGAGCATTCGACCAATATGCGGTCGATCAACGAAGTCAATCATCCGATTAATAAGTAACTCACATCGATCTCAGTCAACTAATCCGAACGCTGAACCAGTGCAAACGAGTTTCAATAAAACATTTGCCGATGATTGTGTACACGTTACCTCAGTTAACACTGAGAATGCTGAACGATCCATATTGAAACTGGAATTATTGGACGGTGAAAATTGATCTAATTTATGAAATGTGCACATTTTATCGAACTAACTTACTGTAATTGCATCTGACTGATTAAAAGTTATGTGTCCACCATATTGTAACAAAGGTGTTATTAGTATGTTGTAGGTAACACATATGTAGGGGGTCATATCAAGTACAGAAAATATGACATCAGAAAGATTGATTTTCTCAAGAAATGATTAATGTTATTTTTGTAGAAAGCTCCATCAAATATAAGGAATCAGAACCAGACGCATACTTACTTCACAGTTGTTTAGAGTATATAAAAAAATTTTTTAAGAATTGCCACAGTCCAAACCAGATTATTTACGTGAAAATATGTTCCAGCAAAACGACAGTCACGCTCACGGAATGAATTCAGATTGCCCAAAGCTGCAATTGAGGGTTTAAAAAATGCCCTTGTTCAGTGTTCACGTCTCCCAAAACAGTTACAGCACGAAGCTGATCAGGTTTGCTCATATATCCCCTAATATACTATGATAACAAAAAAACGCTTTGTCGAAATCACTTCAAACGATGCCCAATTGGTAACCCCGAAAAAAAAATTCGAAAAGAGTGATAAAAAGTGCCCTAAAAGTTTGCCTCATATTGCTGCTTTGATCACTCGAAATTCTATCATTATTCATTACCGCTTTCTTAAATATCAATATTATTCCTCCGCAACGTGTAGCATAACGGTAAGGAATCGCACGATTCCATTCGATCCTGAAGCAAATTTCTTCCAATAGACTTCACAACTCGATCAGCGATTCGCTTTGCTCACGCAGCCCAATTTTAAGCCACTCAAAAATCGCTCCTAAAATGGCCAATCGCAAATGAGAAGAATTTCAGTTGAACGAAGTTCTTTCACAGCGACGTTTTCCGGCCACATCCGATGAAGTGCGTCAGGCACGCAATAAAATCCGGAACTCACTGAAAGAAGCCGAAGGGCTCGATATTGATGAGGATCTATTCAGTCAGAAAATCGTACGTCAACTCTGCTCACCATATCTAGCCATTCAGCAACACTAATATTGAATTTACCCCGCTTCGATGGGCAGTGACCGCGAGTTCACTGATTGTGAGCTGAACTCTTGAGTAATAATAAGTTCGCTTTGATGCGGACACATGACAAGCTAGCAAGTAGCTCATTTTGTTGTATCACTCAAGACTAGTGCTGAGTTAGCATCACATTTCAAGTGGGCAATAGCACTGGAAAAACTCAAATTGATGTGCTTTCATACAGACAACTTTTGTGCTGGAAACTGAAAATCTTAGTATTTCTATAGCAATGCAGTTTGATTTCCAATTGTTTTCCCTCGTCAACCAGAATAATTTGCCAACTAGAATCAGTAATTCTTTGAAATTGAATACGAATTCGCTATCGTTTGTAGAAGAATGCAAAAGAGGATTACATCAAACGACAAGTTGAACGATCGCTACGTAAAAGCAGATATAATTGGCGACCACTGCAATTCGATTCCAAAGAGCAAGCCGCTGTTTATAGTCTCGCGAGGTTCTTGTCCACTCATTTTATGCAATCGTTTGCTCTCAGTCAGCTATGTGCTGGTCTCAAATTCGCAAGTGGAATCCCGAATATGTGATGTTCTCTCAAAAGAATAGACAAACAAAAAATAGCTTATGATAGTAACCAAATTGAATTGAATGTTCTGTTGATGTTATGTATACGTTGANAACCTCTTCTAAGTCACTTTTTTAATCGCTTGCTCCAGTGACAATCGTTGGAGAGAAACTAGGGGAGTGGTTCGCTAATGCAGCCTTGCAAAGCTCTTAAACTTATGATTAATTAGTGTTCTCGGTAATTTTTTTTTTTGATTTTTGTGGGTGATATTTAGGCTTTTTTTGTCGTATTGGTTCTTGTCGTCAGTTGGTTCCATATCTCTATTCGGAAAACTTCACATCCTCCTTCCGCCAGGAAAAAACTCTTGGTATCATGCCACTGACTTGACTGATCTCTCATAATAGAATTCTTCCGGCAGGTTGGCGGCAAATTATGCGGAGGTTCGTTCGGTACTGAGCAA